AGAGAGAGAGAGAGAGAGAGAGAGAGAGAGAGAGAGAGGTCTCCCATCTATGGGTTCACTCCCCACAGTTGGGTGGGAGGGAGTTGGGCCAGGGCCAGATTCGGGAGCCAGGAACTCAATCCAGGTCTCTCAACTGGAGAGAAGAATCCATCTACTTGAGCCATCACCTGCTGCTTTCCAAGATGTGCATCAGCAGGAAGTTGGAGTTAGGCGCTGGAGATGAGACTTGAACCCAGGCACTCTGATCTGGGAAGTGTGTGTCCCAACCAGCATCTTTTATACCCAGGCCAAATGCCCTCTCTGGTGTTGATATCTTTAGCCTGACAGGAACAGATGCTGTGTCCATAACACGAGAACCAGATACTACAAAAGGGAGTACTCAGTAAAAACAACAAAAAAATGTAATACAGAGAACACAGAACAGAGCAGAAAGATATCATTCAAAGATCAGAAAATAAATCCATTATTCAGAAATAAGAAAGCCCAGACAGAAATAGAAAAAATGGGCAAAAAAATTGAATAGTGAGTCAAAAAATCAGTTCTAGACCAGGCGTCCAATATATGAATTTCAGGAAGAGAAAAGAGAAAGAATCGAGGGGAGGGAATTGTCAATGAACCAATTTAAGAAAATTCCCCAGACCAGAAATCCATGAATTTTCTGGATTAAATAGTTCCTCAGGGACCTAGCACAGTGCAAAATGCAGACTTAATGAAGCAAACCATTGTGTAACTTTAGAACCCAAGGGATTCAGAAGGTGCTACAGCCCCGGGGGACTGGGGGCAGAGGACTGGTCGTGGAATCACAGTGGTTTGGGGTTTTTCAACAGCAACTCTCTAGAGCCAGAAGATCTTAAACTATGAAAATTGCAAAGGAGAAGGATTTCCAACTACCATATATGCATTGCCTCTTCCTGTGTGACAAATCATCCAGAAACTTAATAGCTTAAAACAACACACACTTAGTATCTCAGCAGTCCTGAGGACCAGGAATTCAGGGGGAGCTTAGCTGGGTTGCTGTGGCTCAGGATCCCTCCTGGCATTGCACTTGAGCTCTGGGATAGAATTGCGTTATCTCAAGGCTCAGCTGGGGCTGAAGAATTTGCTTCCAAGCTCACTCATGTGGTTCTTGGCAGGGATTTCAGGGCCTTGCCACAAAGACCTTTCCTTGGGCTGCTCATGACGTGGCTATCTCTCCAGGGACTAAGCCCACAGGAAGCCCATAAGAGTCTGTTATAACCTAAACTCAACAGTGACATTCCATCACTTCTGCCACATCCCATTAGTCACAGACCAACAGTGCAGGAGAGTATTACACAAGGGTCTGAACACCGGAAGGCAGGGTCACCAGGGCCACTCAAGGCTCCTCTACTGTACCAGGGAGCAATGCTATAGCCAGCAAAAGGCATCGACCAAGTGTGAGGATGTAATAAAAGTATTTTAAAACATGAAGCCTTTACTTCTCAAACACCTTTTCTTAGAAAGCGACTTGAGGACAGGCTCCACCGAAACAAGGGAGTAAACCAAGAAACAGAAGAGCCAGCCCAGGAGGGAGAATGAAGAACTCCTCAGGGTGATGGAGAAGGGAGGTGGCAGTATGGTGGCTGGCCAGCCCAGCCTGCAGCAGGTCAGAAGATTCCAAAAGGGACTTCTCCACACTGATGAAATTGAGAGGACACCTGATAGGAAGGAACAAATTGCAAAGAGAGTGAGGCAACTGACAGTGAGTATGGAGTTGAATCAGTGATGCGTTTATAGAAAACAAACAGAAACAAGACAGTTAGTACCTCCCAGGAAGCAAAGGGTATGCAGGGAAGGATGAGTTGACAGTTTGCTACTTAGCTCAGCTCTGAGGCAATAGCCATAGCACCACAGGCACCGAATGCTTATCCAGCCAATGGCACCACAGATCTCTGCTTGGAGTTGAACGGGAGGAATGTGTTTGTGTGTAGGTGGGACAAAGGATGGCAGAGGGGAGCTAAACTCATTATCTTTCCAAATCCCAGAGCTGGAAGTCACCAGATAATGTCTAGAATGAAAACATCTGGAAGTAGCAATACTTCACATGATTTTGTAGAGGTGTAGAGATAAATATTTTTAAAAGATTTTTATTTACTTAATTGAAAGTTAGAGGTGCAGAGAGAAGGAGAAACAGAGAAAGAGAGATCTTCCTTCCACTGATTCACTTCCCATATGGCCACAACAGCCAGGAACTCCAGCTGGGTCTCCCATATGAGTGGCAGGGGCCCAAGCACTTGGGCCACCTTCTGTTGCTTTCTCAGGTGTGTTAGCAGGAAGTTAGATTGGAAGCAGAGCAGTCTGGACTCAAAACAGCGCTCATATGGGATGCTGGCATCACAGGCATCTGTTTAATCCACTGCACCACAATGCTGGCCCCTAGAGATATATTCTTTTAAAAAATGCTAAAAGGGTCAGGTGTTTGAATTAGCTGATGGCTTCAAGACCCTTGTATCCCATATCGAGTGCCTGGGTTCAACTCTGGAAGGTCTCTCTCTTTGTCTCTCCCTCTTTCTCTGTAACTCTTCCTTTCAAATAAATGAAAATAAATCTTTAGAAAAAAAGATTGATTTATTTGACACACACACACACACACAGAGAGAGAGAGAGAGAGAGAGAGAGAGAGAGAGAGATTTTCCATCTGCTGTTATACTCTGCAACTGGCTACAACAGCCAGGGCTGGGCCAGGCTGAAGCCAGGAGCCTGAAACTCCATTGAGGTCTCCCATGTGGTTGGCAGGGGCCCAAGCACTTGGGCCATCTTCTACTGCCTCCCAGGTATGTTAGCAGGGAGTTGGACCAGAAGCAGAGCAGCCGGAACTTGAACCAGGGGCTCTGATGTGGGATCTGGTGTTGCAAGATGCTGTGTAACTCCCTGCACCCCAACTCTGGTCCCTTCCATCACCTTCTGTCCTGAAGCAGCTCTGCTACTGGTCCCACATTGCATTCCAGCGGGCTTCAGGGTCCAGACAGGTGCTGCCCTGGACAGGAGTGGAGGAAGTCCTGTGCCCACCTGGTCTGGGGAAGCAGATTTTGGGAGGCACGGCCACCCAGAGGTAAATCATGTCCATGTTACTTCCTCTCAACCCACCCTGAGGGCCGCCACAGCCTGGAAGCCCTCCTGGCACTGGAACTGAAGCTGTGTTCCCGCAGCTTTTGAACATCGGTTGCACCTGCCCTCCCTTCATACTGTCTAGACGCTCAAAAGTCTTTGTTGCGGGAGTGAGTCCTCAGCTAGGACGGGCACCTGCTGTGCGTCCAC